GGAGCCCGATGCGGGACTCGATCCCAGGACCCTGGGATCATGACCTGAGCCGAAGGCAGTTGCCCAACCAACTGAGCCACCCAGGCGCCCTGGATAGCTTTCTGTTGATTCATTTATAATTCCATTTTGGTCTGAAAACATACTGTGTTTGACTTGAATTAGTTTTAAATTTATTAGGATGTTTTCCTAGCCCAGAAAGTAGTTGGTAAATACTTAATGTGTTCTGTTGTTGTTGGGAGGAATATTTAATAAATGTCAAATTAAATCAATTAAGCTGGTTGACAGTATTGCTCAAGTCTTCTATATCATTATTGGTTTTCTGTATAGTGAGAATGAGGTACTGAAACACCTAAGTGTACTTATGAATTTCCCCATTTATCCTGAAGTTTTAAAAGTTTTTATTAAATGTGTTTCAAAGCATTTTTATTAGGTGCATATATCTTTAGGATTGTTATGTTATATTGATGAATCAACCACTTTATCATCATACAATTACTCTCTTTTTCCCCTGGCAACATTCTTTGTTTTGAAATCTACTCTATATGATGAATTCAAAAAAGTTGTTAATTTTATAGGTTATATGGCTTTTCTTTGTTGTTATATGGGTAGGAATGATGTGCTTTCCAGCTTTCTGAGTCTTTTTGGAAGCCCGAGTCTCAAGGGCAATTTTTAAAAACATTAAGCATATTGAAATATCATTACTAAAATTCTTCTAGTCAAACATCATCAGGGAAACTTTTGTCATTAGCCTATACATTGGCCAGCGATTTTTGGAACACTGTGTTCTAAACATATAATAATAATAATAGTAATAATAATAATGACAATGATGATGGTGATGATAGATAACATCCACTGAACACTTACTATATATGTAGCTCCATATAAACAAACAACTTTACATGCACTTTCTCATTTAACCCAACAAACATGTAAAGTAGGTGATTTTTTTATTTATGAAAGATTTAGAGAGGTAAATAACTATTCTAGGTCACATCATTTACTAACTGGGTAAACTTGTTTTTGAAAGCCAGATCTCTTAACTCTATTATATTGAATCTCATTTTATATAGTATTTCATAGTTTACTAGGTGTCTTCTCATTCATGTCACTTTTAATACAACAACCCTAGGGGAAAAAAGCAGGATATATGTTATCTTCTACCTGTTTTGTTTTTTAGAGATGAGATAAGTGAAGCTCAGGAGTGACTTTTTGACTAGCCCAAAGTCTCAAACTTGGGAAAACAAGATTTAAATTCTAGTTTTCTGGATCCAACTTCAGTATTTTTTCTACTAGACCAAGTTATCACTAAATCATGGGCAATAAACAAAGGAAATTTGCTTTTATATTAATCATATAACAATCACTGAAATAACTTTTAGAGCCACCATACTGGAGCATGCTATATTCTAGAGTATGATAATATATTTTTTCACATTATACTCTTGGTAACTAAATTGAACAAGTGGTTCATGGTTTTACTATATTCCAGGTATAAAACCAGTACTATTTATTCTTCCAAAGTAGATAGAACTTACGTATTTTGCATCCATTTTAACATATATATTTATATATATCATATATATATTTAACAATAAACCCTCTTAGAAATAAAATCATAGATAAAATGCAATGAACTAAACAGATGAAAGAGGAAGAGTTCTAGTTAAATAATGGAAAGTTTGCTTCAATTTGATCTGGACCCCCAAATTGCCCCTTTCAGTTCCCTAGAACACTAGCAGAACACTGATCCAGCTGAATATATTGCTTCTCGAAACATGTCAAAAATCATGACACTAGAAATCTTATTAAATTATAATGTTTTAAAATTATTACTAAGTTATTACATTTTAATTTCAGAAAGCTAGTTTCTAGAGAATAGTTTGATTAAAGATAAAAAATTCTAGGGGCACCTGGGTGGCTCAGTTGGTTAGGCATCCAACTTAATCTCAGCTCAGGTCTTGATCTCAAGCTTGTCAGTTCAAGCCCCACACTGGGCTCCCTGCTGGGCATGGAGCCTACTTAAAAAAAAAAAAAAAAGGAAATGATAAAAAATTCTAATTCCTTGTTATTCCAAAAATAATCTTATAAATGTAGTGAGTCATTAACATTTTTGTGTTAAGTCTGTGTTTGTTCAAAGCAATAAAATCCTATTATTGCCTGACAAAAAAAATAACTAGAACACTGCTAAATTATGTTTCCTTCAAAAACTTGTTATATATAATCTCAACGGATTTAAGTGGGAATGTAGTGTTTCTCTGTTTTCATGGAAAAACATAAATTCAGGATCCAGATCTAGAGAAAGAAATTTCAGGTAATGAAACTCCTGATTTCACAAATTTTCCTCAGCAATTATCTTTATATTACTGATATACCATTTCCTATGCTTCATCCAGAGCTCCTAACAATATCAGAAATATAGGACAGATATTCTTAACCTAGAGTTAGTCTAACCTATAGTTTATTCTAACATAAAGCACCAACTGAATGGTTTGTACCGATTTCTTCATGGTGTAAAATTCCTGTGACAATCCATAAGCAGATTTGTGTGAGTAATTTGAGCTGGGGAAAGGTGGAGAGTGGAGTCTATTTTCAGGCTTCCTTGATGGGGTGGCACACCTTCTTAAGGCTTATGTGATCCCTGCGGTTGCCCTTATCTTCCACTCATCAGATCCAGAAGCCACACAATAATGGTTGGTATTCACCACTTTTTCCGGGCTCACATTTTCTCTACCATAAGACTCATGTGCTGCTTATTTTCATTCTCCTATTGTTTTCCAGATATCTTTCCCAAATAACCAGATGTTTTTCATAATCCTAATCAGAGTTTTTTACCTTTCCGAATCAAGTAAAGACCCTTTCTCCATCTGCTCTGTAGACTATTTTCCAAATGAAACCTCCTTCAATGTCACTGATTTGCAGTGGGTTTTCTGTTTAGCTGTTTGTCAGCACATCATAATACTAAGTTAAGCTACAACTTTATTATTCATTACACTGCTTGATTTCACTGATCTTTTTCTGATTAATGAAGACTCAGTATCTTTGAAATCCATATTGAAGTTTTAACTCCTCTGAAAGAACTCTAGATTTTAAACAGGATTTCTAACATATGTGGAATACTAAAAATCCAAGTTCTGTGAAAGGATCTAGAAAAATATTTTTTTGTACCAGTGCCACCTCTACTAAAAAATTAACTGTGCCACAAATCAACTTAAAAAAAGAAGTTTAAAAAATAACATTATACCGGGGGCAGAGCAAGATGGCGGGGGAGTAGGAGACCTGGATTTCATCTCCTCTCAGGAATTCAGCTGGATAGGGATCAAACCATTCTGAACACCTACAAACTC